GGGGGAGCTGGAGGCAGAGGGAGAAGTAGGCTCCCTGCTGAGCAAGGAGCCCGATGCAGGACTCAATCCCAGGACCCTGGGATCATGACCTGAGCCAAAGGCAGATGTCCTACCAACTGAGCCACCCAGGCATCCCAAAGATTTATTTATTTTAGAGAGAGAGAGCAGGATTGAGAGCATGCACGGGGGAGTAGGGAAGGACAGAGAGAGAATCTCAAGCAGACTCCCTACTGAGCATGGGGCCCAATCGAGTGTGGGGCCCAATCAAGCGTGGGGCTCAATCCCACAACCCTGATATCAGGACCTGAGCCTAAATCAAGAATTGGACGCTCAACTGACTGAGCCACCCAGGCATCTCTTGAAAAATATTTTTAACATGCGTATGTTTCTTTTCTAGCGAGATTAGTGAAGATTTTATTTTTAAAAACAAAGATGTTAATATATTGTTTTTTATAGAGTGGGAGGGTTTTGTTTTGTTTTTTGGTGCAAAATGGTGATTTTATTAAAGCATGGGGATAGGACCCATGGGCAGAAAGAGCTGCTTTAGGGTAGGAGGTTTTTTTTTCTTTTTACAGATTTTATTTATTTATTTGTCAGAGAGAGCACAAGCAGGGGGAACGGCAGGCAGAGGGAGAAGCAGGCTCCCTGCTGAGCAAGGAGTCCAGTGCGGGACTCCATCCCAGGAGCCTGGGATCATGACCTAAGCCTGAGGCAGCCGCTTAACTGACTGAGCTACTCAAGCGTTCTAGAGTAGGAGATTTTTAGAAAATACTTCCTTGTCTTTCCACCCAGATACTTACTTCTGTATTATGAGGGCAGTGAAATACTAGAACCCCACCCCAGGCTGCCAGGTGAGCTGGTATGTAGGTATAGGCAAACAACCATTTCCTTTAAGTGAAGTTGGAACTCAGGAAGTAGTATTTGAAGAGTAGCAAAGGGATTGATGATAATAATAGCAGCAGTAATAGTAATGGCTAACTGATGAACCAGGTACTTTATGTAGATTGTCTTCTTTTTATAGCCTAGCAACCACATGAAGGCTGGTGCTATGAGAAATAGAGCAGTGCAGACTTCCTGCCCTGACTTCTCAGCTTTGTCAGTAATTAGCTGAATGGCCTTGAATTAGAAAACTGCCTCTTTTTCCTTATCTAGAAAATGAGCATAATAATAGTACCTGCCTCATAAGGTTGTGATGATTAAATAATGTAAACCATGTAAAGCGCTTAGCATAGTGCTTGGCACATAGAAAGTGCTCACTATGGGGTACCTGGGTGGCTCAGTCGGTTAAGTGGCTGCTTTCAGCTCAGGTCATGATCCCAGGGTCCTGGCATCGAGCCCCACATTGGGCTCCTTGCTGAGTGGGGAGCCTGCTTCTCCCCTGCCTGTCATTACCCATGCTTGTGCTTGCTCTTTCCTTCTCTCTCTCTCTGTCTCTCTCTGTCAAATAAATAAAATCTTTATTTTTATTTTTTTTTAAAGATTTTATTTATTTATTTGACAGAGAGAGACAAAGTGAGAGAGGGAACACAAGCAGGGGGAATGGGAGAGGGAGAAGCAGGCTTCCTGTTGAGCAGGGAGCGCAATGCTGGGCTCAATCCCAGGACGCAAGGATCATGACCTGAGCCGAAGGCAGACGCCTAACGACTGAGCCACCCAGGCACCCCTAAATAAAATCTTAAAAGAAAAAAAAAAGAAAGTGCTCACTAAATGTCACATTACAATAATTAAAGCAGTTGGAGAAGCAGAGGCTTAGAAAGAGGTAAGGTATGCCTAAGTGACATAGCAAATAAATGACAGAACAGTAATTTGCTCCTGGGCAAACTCCAGGGCTCTTGTTTCTTTCTTTCTTTCCAGATAGGCTCCACACCCAGCATGGGACTTGAACTCACGACTCTGAGTTCAAGAGTTGCATGCTGTACCAACTGAGCCCGCCAGGCACTCCGTCCAGTGCTCTTGTTTCTTACCATTATACTGTACCACCATCATGGATTGAAGGGAAGAGATTGGGCATGAACTGTATTTTGTCCAACTTGAGAGGTGAGCATAGATCTGAAGGTCACAATGGGTTCAGACCTATGTAAGCTTTATTTGTGATCTTAAGCATCTTATCACCATAGCATGTACTGGTTATTCTCTGAAGTGATTTTTCCCTAGATCCAAAGAAATCAAAGAGTGATGGGTCATTTTTGGTCTTCTGCTGAGGGGTTGAGTGTTCCCTGGCTGGGGCCAGGAAATGGAGCTGAATAAACACCTGTATCTTACTGCTTTTGGACCTAAGTAGGAGCTTTTCCTGTCTCTTGTTACTATGATTGTGTTTCCTAATACAACTGGTAATGATAAGAAGCAGAGCAGTGTATACATCGAGCACTTTATGTGCCATGCATTTGACATGGGTTGTCTCATCTATTCCTTAATGTAACCCTAGAAGCTAGTCACTCTTATCCCTATTTTATAGAAACAAAGAGATTAGGAAACATGCTTAAACTCACATAGTCAGTGCTGGGATTTGAATATGCAATCTGGCTCTAGAGTCTACATTCTTAACCTCTACACTCTACCGTTTCTATTCTTTCCTTACCTGTCTAAAGCACATAGTATGGGGCAGATGGCTTAGTAGGGCCAGTCCTATTTTTCCCATCTGAAAAATGGAAAGCTTTTGACTACTGGGCTAGAAATAAGGAGGCCTGTGATCTTGTCTTAACCTTGTCACCAACATCCAGGACTTCACTTTCCTCAGCCTTATTGTCCTCATTCATTAAACAAAAGGGTCACTCTAGATGGTCTCTTAGATCCCTTTTAACTCTGATGTTCTGATGGACTTTTTGAAGTGAGGAGAATAATATTTGCTCAGCTCCTTGATTTTGGAGTGGTGGTATTTGTGAGATTTTAGGGACCCTCTTTGTGCAAGGGAGGATGCCAGATTTCAGGACAGAGAATACTGCCTTCCTGAAGAAGGTAGGGCTGGGCTCTTTTTTTGAGGCTGGTTGCCTAGGGAACCTAGCCTCCGGCCAGCAACAGTCAGGAATGCTTTGGTTGAGAGTTGGGTACAGATAACTAAAACAAGCAGCACATTTAGGTTTCACTTTCCACCCTCCCCTGCCCCCCCCACCCCCCAGCTACCTTTCCTTTAAAGCTCCCAGTTTTATACACTTTCTGTATGTTAGTACTTTGTTAAGAAGTTTGCTATTTAATCTTCATAGTAATCTTATCAGATAAGTGTACTATTTTAAATTCGCAGATAATGAAAGCGAGGCAAATAGAGTTAAATAATTTGTCTATAGTTACTCAAGTGGAAAGTGGTATCCAACCCACTGTATTGTACTGCCTGATTGGAACTTAAAAAAAAAAAGCAGAGGGAGGACTCTATTTATTAATGATGTTTGTTTTGGTTTTGTTTTATTTAGAATGATAGACTCTTGGAGCTGGAAAGGGCCTTTGCGGTAATAGTCAATCTCCTTGTCTCCTGTCTGCCATCTAGTTACAGGAATGCTTTCCATTATCCCCCTGACAGATGATCACCCAAGTTCTTTTTGAATGTTTCCATTGCTGGGGAGCTCATCACTTCTTGAGGAATCCCATTATATGTTGAATAGCTCTCTCTGGTAAGATATTATTTCTTGTTTTGAATTGAAATCTAATTGAGATGACTTCTCATCAGTTTTAGGCCTGTTCCCTGGAACCGTGCAGGATAAATATAATCTATCTTTCACATGCCAATCTTGTGAATGTTTGAATACACTCTTCCTATTTATAAGGCATTTTGCAGTTTTCTCATAGCATCTAAACTTGATTTCAATTTGGATTGGTCTGCACAAAAGCAGTCTCTGTTTTTTACTGCTTTACAAGTACAGCCTTGCAACAGCAAATCTATACTTCATTTCTTATGGTTAGGCACAAAATACGGGCCCTTCCCACATCTTTGGAGAATGAATGGATAGTGAGCTGAGTCTCTACAATTGTATATGAGTCTGGAGGGTTTGCAGTCTCCTACTTTTGTTATCTCTAGGACATTAGACTGTCAGAGCTTCACGCTGTCAGAGCTCACAAAATGGCTGGAAGTTTATCCGGGCATTTGACAAAACTGCATTTACTTCATCAGGCCACTAGGTGATGAACAACTCACAAACCTAGACTTAAAGGATGGTTGTGTATAGGACAGTTTCTGTTTATACTTGGAAAGGCCGTCAGAAGTCATCTGGTACAGCCTCATTAAAAGGTCTTTTTTGGGGGAGGGAAAACATGTCTTGTGTACACTTTGTCTTTCCCAGCTTTGCTTCAGTTTTAAATATTAATTTGAATAGGATGCTTCTTCTCTGAGTGATTTCTTTTCTTTTTTTAAAAATTTTTATTTATTTATTTATTTTAAAGATCTTATTTATTTATTTATTTTGACAGAGAGAGACACAGCAAGAGAGGGAACACAAGCAGGGGGAGTGGGAGAGGGAGAAGCAGGCTTCCCGCTGAGCAAGGAGCCCGATGCAGGGCTCGATCCCAGGACCCCGGGATCATGACCTGAGCCGAAGGCAGACGCTTAACGACTGAGCTACCCAGGTGCCCCTTGGTTTGTGTCTTTTTAAAATAACTCTGCCTGCCACTTGTTGAACTGTTTAGACTTAAAAATTTGTCTTTTCTTAGTTCAAGGAAGTTTTATCGCTTTCCTTCCATCTGTTTCCAACCTCCTTACTTTACAGATGAAGAAACCAAGTCCAGAAAGGTTAAGTGACTTGTTCAAGGTCACTCAGCTAGTTAATAGTGAACCTCAAACAAATAACTTGATTTCTTTGATGAACTAGACTTTCATTGTATTGACTATTGCTCTGTTGAGAGAGCCATCATGAAAAACGTGGAAATTTTTTAGTGAGACAGGGATTTTGCTGAGGGTTCGTGAGGAGATGAAGGAGGAGGAAGAGATGATAAAGTTCATTACGATTAAAATATGGCCCATTTGGGGTGCCTGGGTGGCTCAGTCAGTTGGGTGTCTGACTCTTGGTTTTTGCTCGGGTTGTGATCTCAGGGTCATGGGATTGAGCCCTGCATTACAGAGTCTTCTTGGGATTCTCTCCCTGTCTTTCTCCCTCCCTATCTGCCCCTCCCTCCCTCTAGGATAAATAAATAAAATCTTTAAAAAAATGTGGCCAATTTGAAGGACTATAAAATTCACAAGGTATCTCAGTTACTAGAGTTACCCCAGAGCTCTAAAACTTAATAAAGCTAGGAAGTTGAGTGAATACTTGGAGAATTAGATATCTAATTGTCAGGAGTTGGATAAGCATGGTCATGCCCTGTTGTAAATATTGGAAAACATGTAAGTATCTGAAAGCTTGGAGACAGGCATCATAAACTATCTTATCAGTGGTCTGGTTTCTGTTTTGAATTACAGCCTGGGACCCTTTTCTACTGGGAACCACCTGTTCCTGGCTTTGTTGATCTTTGGATTTCCCCAGCTCTCAGTCCCTTTCAGTTTTGAAATGAAACCTACCCCAGAGGGTGAGGTCAGGTACTGAGAGGACTTTGACAGCTCACACCAGGTTGTTTTTTTCTAGAGTCTGGTATGTGACTGTGTGAAGTGTAAGGCTCAGCAGGCTGTGATATAGACTGATTGATGGTGAATCAGCTGTTGGGTAAGGCCCAGGTAGTGCTATTTCTTTGGGTAACCAGGAAAACACGTAGACCAAATATGTTGTCTTTCATCCTTAGACAGTTGAAAGTTAAGAGTACAGTCATCAGAGATCTGCCATGATCTTGCTGCCTTTGGTTTACTGAAGAAGGAAAGGCATTATTTCAGTGTCTTTTCTCATTTTTAGAGCCTCCTTTCTTTTCAGGAAGGAGCCAAGTCCTTGGCTTCTTTCTGCTGCTCCAGCTTCTAAACGTTTATACTGTGCCTCCTGGAATTGCTGCTTTGATGTGAAGTGACTCCTCTAGATACCCCTAGACACACATACCCTCATGTCCTGACCCCAACCCCTTCCCGGAATTTGGCTTCCCTCTTCCCTTTGTTGTGAAACTGGTTTCCATGATACTCTAGCGCTTTGCTTGGAATCTTTATAAGCAGTACTGGCTCTTTCTTTAACTTAGCCCATACCACTTCCCCCTGATTTTGCCTGACTGTCCCCCAGCCACATCCCTCAGTACTACAAAGCTGCTTGTAGACCTTCAAATACTTTTTTTCTATTGAGATTTTTACTGGCCAGCAAGGCCACCTGATTCCTGTCCTTAAGGTTGGCATCTATACTCATTCTCCCATGGTGGTGGTGGTGGTGGTTTTTTTAAGATTTTATTTTTTTAGGTAATCTTTGCATCAATATTGGGCTCAAACTCCCAACCCCAAGATCAAGAGACGCATGTTCTACTGACTGAGCCAGCCGGGTGCCCCATGTTTGTTTAAGACTTTGGTGTCTGACCTCTCCTCCTGGGACTCTGGCCCAGGCTAGGGGATTGGTGGTCAGGCTTGGCCTGGGTCTAGTGATTCAGGGTATACCATGGACTTAGGGAGCTTCATGTTAATATCTTAGATGTGGGGAGATGGGAAGCTTTAAGATCTGAACACCAAGGCCATTGGGAGTGGAAGGGACAAAGAAAATTTAGCATCTGAAACAATGGATATTCTTTGTAGGCTCCCTCTTCTCCCATTTGTAAGCTCCCATTTAAAAAAAAAAATTAAGAGGGTTTTTTAGAACAGTTTTAGGTTCACAGCTAAATTGAAGGGAAGATACAAAGATTCCCGTTATTACTGTACTTGAGTAAGCTCTGTGCCCAAGGTGGGGCTCAAACTCACGACCCTGAGGTCAAGAATCACATGCTCTACCTACCAACTGAGCCAGTCAGGCGCCCTGAGATTCCCATTATTTTTTGAAAAGTTGATCTTTAGCTTTATAGGGAATGTAGTAACATAATCTAAAAAAAATTAAAATCTGTAGATTATTTTGAATTCTCCTGCTCCCCCCACACCCATTTCAGTTATTTTTGTATTCCTCAGAGGTGGTAACCTGTTAGTGTTTGGAATTTGTACATACCAGACTTTTTTTCTCTGTGTTTACATACATATGTATGAACCCAGAAAAGTGTTATTTTTGTGTCTTATTTATACAAATGGGGTCACATTTTATGGATCATTTTGGTATTTCTTTGATTCAGTAAGGTACCTTGACAATATTTCATATTGGTACATAAAGATACTTCTCATTGATTTTGGCTACTGTATAATATTTTCTAGTATAGATATGCTGTATTTAGCTATTTTCCTATTGAGAGACATTAAGGTATTTCCAATTTTTTGTTGTTATAAAGGATTCTTGTTGTGTTTTAAGTGTCAGCGTTCTCTTCCTAGGCCTTTTCTTTTCTCATACTCTTCCTGGGTGATCTCAACCCTTCTGACAGCTCCACTTAACCATCTACATATGGATGATGCCCAAATCTTTCTCCAGACCAGTGTCCAGCTTGCTCATGTGGACAGCATCACGGGGATGTTTTGCATACTCGCCATCATGCAGCCTCCTGCTTTTCCCACTTGCCTCATCCAGTGTCCTGTCACATGGTAAATAGCACGCAGTTATTAGGCCCAAAGGCTAGTAGTTATTGTCAGACTTCCCTTTCCTTCCACAGTCAACAACCAGCCTGTCACTGGGACTTTTCCTCCGTAGTGTTTCTTGGATCCAGTTGCTTTCTTTCCTTCTTCATTGCCACTACCTTGTACCTTAGTTTTATGACTTATAAAATAGAATACTTGTGAGTATTAAATAAATTAATAACATGTAAAATGTTTAGAAAAATAGATCAGCACGCAGTAAGTGCTATGTGAATGTTGGTTGTTGTCATCATCATCATCATCGTTGTTGTTGGGTTCTTCTCATCTAAGTGTACATAATACATTTTCATCTCTACCTCCAGTCTTGATTTTATCCTTCCCCACCTTCATTTCACTCTGCACATTGCAGTCAGAGTGATCTTTATAATATATACGAATGATCATGGTCTAACTTTCCTGCTTAAGAAACTTCAGTGATCTTGCCATTGGACTTTTACATGAATTGTCACCCCCACCTAGAAGGCTTTTTCCCTTGATCTTTTAATTACTGTTTTTTGGGGGTTTGTTGTTGTTTTGAGATATATGTTTTTATTTATTTTTATTTTTTCTAAAGGTGTTATTTATTTGACAGAGAGAGAACACAAGCGGGGGAGCAGCAGCGGGAGAGGGAGAAGCAGGCTCCCCACTGAGCAGGGAGTCCGATGCAGCTCAATCCCAGGACCCTGGGATCATGACTTGAGCCAAAGGCAGACACTTAACCAACTGAACCATCCAGACGCCCTGAGATCTCTGTTTTTAAATGTCATGTCCTCAGAAAGGTCCTCCCCTGACCACCTAATTATTCCAAAGTAGCCACCCATATCCTTTCTATCACATAATCTATTTTAATTCTTTCCATAGCACTTATTAATATGTGATATTTTTCTAGTTTATCCATGTATTTTATATAGTCTCCTTCAATTAATTTTTATTTATTTATTTATTTTTTTAAGTAGGCTGCACGCCCAGCCTCAGATCAAGAGTCACAAGCTTTACTGACTGAACCAGCCAGGCACCCCTGGTCTCCTCCAGTTAGAATTAAATTCTCTGATGGGGCGCCTGGGTGGCTCAGTCGGTTAAGCGTCTGCCTTCGGCTCAGGTCATGATCCCAGGGTCCTGGGATCGAGCCCTGCGTCAGGCTCCCTGCTCAGTAGAGAGTCTGCTTCTCCCTCTCCCTCTGCCTGCCTCTCTGCCTACTTGTGCTCCCTATCTCTGTCAAATAAATAAATAAAAATCTTTAAAAAAATAAAACTGTTAACCTTTAAAAAAAAAAAAGAATTAAATTCTCTGAGAACAGGGATGTTGTCTGTTTTTTTCACTGTTATATTTCTAGTATGGATAACAATGTCTGGTACATTGTAGGCACTCAGTGCACACTTGTGAAGTGAATTATAAAACAGTTTCATATGTCTTATGAGGCCTTTTTTGGTCTCTCCAGCATCTTCTGCTTCAGGACACCCTCTGCTTTGGCCTCTCCATCCCCCAGCTCATCTCTTCAGATGTGTTTTCTTGCTGCAAGACCTTTGCATATGCTGTTCCCTCTACTTAGAACACTTTTTTTTTTTTTTAAGATTTTATTTATTTATTTGAGAGAGAGAGAATGAGAGAGAGAACATGAGAGGGGGGAGGGTCAGAGGGAGAAGCAGACTCCCCGCAGAGCAGGGAGCCTGATGCGGGACTCGATCCAGGGACTCCAGGATCATGACCCGAGCCGAAGGCAGTCACCCAACCAACTGAGCCACCCAGGCGTGCCTAGAACACTTTTCCTCAAGCGCCCAGCCACTGCCTGGGTATCTCCTATTTATCCTTCAAGTTTCAGCTTAGGTGTAACTTCACTTGACTGCCCTTCTTAGTCTTACAGCTCTACATGCATTACCTTTAATTATACATACTGTAATTATTTGTCTGTCTCCCTCACTAGATGGTAAGTTTTGTTGGGCAAAGGCCTGTGTCTTGCTCACCATGTATTAGTCGTAACCGCTGTGGGCTGGAAGCATCTCTTGAGGTGGGGTGCTGGGTAGGGCTACCCAGACTACCAATTGAGTGCTAAGAAGGTGCGTCTTCGAATGCCAGGGTAAGGTCTAGGCATTTGGCCCTGGCTCATTGTCATTCTCCTTATTCCATCTTTGGTGATTCCAGTGTTGGCCTGGATGAGCTATCTAACATGCTTGAGAGGAATCATCTAATACACTTGTCTCTCTCTGAGACGTATTCATAAAAATCAGTGTAGCTGGCAGAGGACTTGCCCATGAATGGGGCCTGAGTGCTGAGGATAAAAGTTGGGGATCTGGGTAGGCAGATTATTTACTCTGAGTGGCTGATGGCAGAATAACTGAGAGTGGAGTGGAATTCTAAGCAAGGAAGGAAGCAAAAGGCCTTAGGGATAAGGTGAGGCAAAGATGAAACAGGAAGCTGAATCATTAAGTCAGAAACCTAGAGAATCAGGATAATGGGTGGAGTGTACGAAAGGACAGGGCAAGCAGTTCACGATTAGGGCCATAAATAATCTTGGGGATTACTTAAATCATCTTTTGGCATTCTTACCTCTTTAGTGTGGAACCAGCTTTTGGATTAGAAGAAGGATCAGGTAGTTGACATATAAAGGTTTGAGCTAGATTGCATATTACTTTGTATTTTATGTGTTAATTACCTGAAAGTCAAATCCTCAGAAATCCTACTGTACCTTTTCCCCCACGCTTCAGTTTCTGCTCCCTCTTAAATATAGTAGGTTTAACTAGCTAATTTTTGAAAAAGTTTCCTGTATAGAAGCCTGTAGCAATCCTGGTGTTCCGCTAAGGTAGGCTGAGGATATTCCCTTCAGGTAGGGTGAGCACTCCTTCAGGCCGTACCTCCTCCCACCAGATCATGCATAGGAGCTGGCCTTAGCAGCCTCAGGAATTCAGGACTCTGCCTAGCCTGAATCTGTGGATTTCTCTCTGAATTTTGGGGAGGGACATGGGAGTGTAAAATATAGGGTGGCATTCTGTCAGTGAGGCATAGTAGGAGTGGGAGAAGATTGGCTGGGTGTGCACAGATGGAGGATCTGAAGGTGTATAGGCAGTGGGCTTCAAAGTTTCTGACCTGGAATGGTCCTTGAATTTATGGCAGTATTAGGTTGCTTTAATGTGTCAAGTAGAGAATCTTGGTGAGTGGTGCCTGTCATCAGCCCTTGGAGGTGTTCTGTATATTTTTCTGTGTGGCCTGGAGGTCTTCTATAGACTGACTGGTAGCTGGCATCTTGGTGGGTGCTTGGTGAGGGGGAATCATGGGGATAGGAACAATACATACTGAAGAGAGGTATATTCTCTTTTGAAGGTTGGATAGAGTGATTGTGTGCACATCCTGGGCAGTCTAAGGGACTCAGAGCCCCTGCTCCCTGTCTTTGACTCCTCTTGTTCTCTAAGCCTCATGCTTTGATGTCCTGCCTTTTATTTTCTGCTTTGGTACCTTCAAATTTCATAATCCGTTCTGACTCCTCTTTCTAGATTACTCCATGTCCAGCTTGATTCTTGGTTCTACATGGTCCCCTAATTTTGACATTGCCAGCCACCTTCATGGAGGGCCTTCTCCGTTAGTCCTGTCTGTAGAACTGTGATTTTGAAGCTTTAATGCATCAGAAATACCCATGGGGGCAAAAGAGGAGTGTGCTGGATACTTATTTAAAATGCAGATTCCTGGGGCGCCTGGGTGGCTCAGTCATTAAGCATCTATCTGCCTTCGGCTCAGGTCATGGTCCCAGGGCCCTGGGATCCAGCCCCGCATTGGGCTCCCTGCTCGGCGGGAAGCCTCTTCTCCCTCTCCCACTTCCCCTGCTTGTGTTCCTGATCTCGCTGTGTCTCTCTCTGTCAAATAAAAAAAAAAGATTAAAAAAAATAAATAAAATGCAGATTCCTGGGGGTGCCTGGCTGGCTCAATCAGAAGAGCATGTGACTCTTGATCTTGGGGTTATGAGTTTGAGCCCCACATTGGGTGTAGACCTTACTTAAAAAAATAAAAAAATAAAGTAAAACGCAAATTTCCGACCTCTACTCCCTAGCTTTTCTGATTCAGTAGGTATAAGGTGGTGATCAGGAATCTGCATTTTTTTTTTTTTTTAAGATTTTATTTATTTATTTGACAGAGACAGAGACAGTGAGAGCAGGAACACAAGCAGGGGGAGTGGGAGAGGGAGAAGCAGGCTTCCTGCTGAGCCGGGAGCCCGATGCGGGACTCGATCCCAGGACCCTGGGATCATGACCTGAGCCGAAGGCAGTCGCTTAACCAACTGAGCCACCCAGGTGCCCAGGAATCTGCATTTTGATTGGCCTCCCAGATGACTTTGACTACAGTCATCATCTGCAGACCATATTTGGAGACACTGACAGGGGATTCTGCTGACCTCCCATCCCTAAAGGGGAAGAATAGGGTTTTGAACCCTTTACTTGGATTTAAATGTCCTAGGAAACTTAGTCTGTCATCCAGTGGGAATAACGGATAACTATCTCTGTGTACCAGCATCTCATCTCGTTGCCACAGTAGATGCAGAGCCAGATGAGGTGTAGAAGGCCTTAATGACTAACCCATGGCAGGTCAGCACCTCTGGGATTTACAGGAAGCTTTAACTTTGGACTCAGAAAAGAGGCTAGAACATGGACCCTGAAGGCTATCGGTTGCACTGCAGATTTTCTCTAGGGTGCCTCTCTTTTCCTGTGCACATTGACCCTGTCCTAGTGTAGGCGGTCTTTATTTGGTTCCCAAGCTGTCTTCACTCCCTTTTGTGCCCATCCTATACACAGCTGCCACTATCCTCCTATAAGACGACCCAACCTTGTCTCTCCTTTTCAAGTCCTCTCTTGCATTCCTGTTACCTATATGATCAAGTCCAAATGTCTTAGGTTGGAATACACAGTCTTACACAATTTGGCCCAAATTGTGGCCTAACGATCAAGGAAGATCTGGTCCCTGCCTTTTTCTCAAGTCTTAATCCCAAGCCCTTCTCTCATCTCCTGCGGCACCCTTACCTGCTCGTAGTTCCTTGACCTCTTCTTCTATTCTCTGGTTTCAGAGCCTTTGTAGTGCTCTAGCCTCTGCCTAAAACAGTCTTTACCCTGCTCTTCATCTCATTAACTATCCCTTACTTTTAAGTGTCCGTTAAACATTATCTCCTCTTAGAAGTCTTTTCTGGCCACTCTATACAAAGCAACTCCATGTTACTTTTTATCTTCATACCTCGTTTGTTTCCATTAGACCACTTACTGCTTTTTACTAGTTTGTCTTTCTCTCCTATTAGATTATAAGTTCCATGAAGGTAGGGACCTTCTTGCTCATGGTTATATATTCAGTGCCTGGAGGCACTCAGGGAGTATTTGTTGACCATAAATTACTTTTCACCTTCTTGTTAGTAGCTGTGTGGGTGCTTTGTGGCCCTGCACAACTCTCACCCTTTGCATATGTTGTTGCCTCTACTGGAAGCACCCTTTCTCTCATCAGCTGGTCAGATTTTTTTCTTGTCTTTTTCCATTTCTCTAAGCAAGTCTTTAACTTCCCCAGGCAGTGCTAGTTCAATAGAGGCAGCTTTTTGGTTCTCTCGAATGGACTTCTTGCCCTGTGTAGTGGTTTCATCTATGTAAGAGATAGATGGTATTGCCCTTGGTTTATAGGTGAGAAGCCAGAAGCTCTAAAAGGTGGATTAACTTGTAAATGGCAGAACTGAGATTCCAGCCCCACTGTAGAGCCCTCACTCATTCTACCTTGCTGTGATCTAAAAGAAACCAAATAGCAGACCCAGAGACACTGAAATGAAAGAGATGTTTTTTTGTTTGGGTAATGAATGTGTGTGTGTGTAGTTTATTTATTTGTCTTACACTTCTTTAGAGTTAAACACAGTAAAAGGTGTACTATTAACAAGCCGTTCATAAGGATGATGGAGTAAAGGGTAACCAGAATATTCAGAGGACAATATGTATTTCATGTGTTTTCTTGATCATCTTTGGTGACTATGACACAGTCAACATATACCCTAGTAGAAATAAGTCAAGGTGAAACACTATTAAATTCAAACCAAAGCAAGTATCAATGATCATTAATAGTTGCTTGGAGGATATATAAAGAGTTAAATCTGAACGTTTTTGTTGAGGGAAAAAATATGCAAAATTGGTATGCATAGTCTTTAGCACATTTTGCTTAAAAATACATCTAGTAAGATATATAGTAATATATTGTTAAGATACTAGTTGAATAGGGATGCATGGGTGGCTCAGTCGTTAAGCATCTGCTTTTGGTTCGGGTCATGATCCCAGGGTCCTGGGATCGAGCCCTGCGTTGAGCTCCCTGCTCAACGGGGAGCCTGCTTCTCCCTCTGCCTCTGCTGCTCCCCCTGCTTGTACTCTCTCTCTCTGACAAATAAATAAAATCTTGAAAAAAAAAAAAGATACTAGTTGAATAAATTATAGTGAATATTGCCATATTATGTCACTGTTAAAAAGAATGAGACATACAGGCATGTACACACTCACACCCTGATATGGAACAATCTCTAAGATCTGTTATTAAGAGGAAACTAAGGCAAAGTGCAGAATAGTGTTTGTGGCATGCTAGTAGTAGTATTTGTGTGAAAAAGGGGGAGGATTCTATCTACTTATTATGCCCAGATTACCTCTTGTTTGTTTTGTTTTTGTTTTGTTTTTAAAAATGTATTTATTTGAGAGAGAGAATGTGCATGTGTGTGAGAGAGAAAGTGGGGGGAGGACCAGAGGGAGAGGGAGAGAATCTCTAGCAGATTCCCCACTGAGCACGCAGAGCCCAATGTGGGGTTCAGTCTCATGACCCTGAGATAATGACCAGAACTGAAATCAAGAGTTGGATGCTTAACTGACTGAACCACCCAGACACCCCAAGTTTTATAAATGTTTTAAGTACTTTGCTTTACCCTATAAATATGATCCTGAAAAGTTGAATGTAAATGTACGTGTGTGTGGTGTGTGTGTCAACAGGGACGGGCTGGGGAAGCATCAAGTTGTATGTCTAAACTTCACAGGAAAGAGGAAGAAGGAAGATCCTTTTTGTCTAGTGAATGATCCCTAACTTAATATATTTGGGCTTTTGTGTATGACATTTTTCTTGAAGTAAAACACATCTCTACTGAGAATGGAACAAAAAAGGGGAGATTGTGTTTGAAATTGAAGATACCTGTGTATGTCAGGATACCCACTATTTGTCTCTTCTTCCTGTTCATGCACTCGAAATCTTGGAGCCCCCCCTTTTATAATCTGTTTCCTGTGTGTTGATTTTGTCTTTCCAAATGGAGTAAATTCTTGAAGGTGGGAGGCCTATCTTATGATTATATCTTATAGTGACAAGCATAATAGAAGTTGCTCAGTAACTACATATTCAAGGAAGAAAAGAGAGGGCTGGAGAGAGAAAGAGGCTCCTCTATCAAAGAGATGATTGCTTTTGGATTTTCTCTGACTGTCTTGTTCTCTTTACTAGTAAAGAATATCTTCCACTTGTAGACTAAGTGTGTTGGAGGATTTCGTGTGTGTGTGTGTGTGTGTGTGTGTGTGTGTGTGTTGGAGGGATGTTCCCTGCTGAAAGCCCAGGAAAGAGCAGAAGCTGGAATGGGGCATGAAGGCTGTTGACCTGATGGTGTGTAATGAGACTTCTGTGTTGTAGCCCTGAGGAGAATCTCAGATTTCTGACCTGTTCCTAATTTCAAGCTTGGGTATTCAGCTGTCAGCACGGCAACTGGACCTGTATGTGCCATAGACTTCCTAAACTTAGTAGCATGTGGTAGGAATGTTTGATTAAAGTGATTTGTTGTTTTTGGTGAGAGTATGTGAAAACTCTTAACACTGGGCCTTGTGTATTGTTGGTATCCAAGAGGTGACAGAGAGTATGTGAGAAATATTTTGAAACTGTTAAGTCTTTCCTTAGGTCCCCTCCCTCTGTTCACGTGCCTCCTACTCTCAGGCTAAATAGGAGATAAAAACATGGATTCCACCTTTGGGAAGTTGCCAATTCTTTACTGGTGGCTTTATGCTCAGGCAAGAGGTGTATTTGGCTTCCACATATCTGACAGCAAGTATATCTGGACCCTGTTCACCAGGTTACTCAAAACCTTACCCCAGACTGAAAACGTCACCTTGGGCAACATTCTTGGTAGGGACCTAGGCTTGAGCATCTTAGTAGGGAAGTCTGTGAATCTCTAGGGTAGTTATGCAAGGTGGTGAGTGTATGGGATTGGACATGAGTTTAACTTAGCCAGGGTAGCTTGTTGGGTGTAGCTATGGAGGAAGGGATAAAGTAGGGAGTAAAATGGGCCCAGCAATGTGTCATTTCTGCTCCTAGGAAGATGTAGGCACTTGTGTGCCAGGGGCAGAGCTCTGGACTGCTGCGGCTAGTCACTTCCCTTTGAGAGTCAGTCTTACCCCTGGCTGCCCTGCAAGGCATTTGGGGTTTAGAAGGAGATGTGAAACGGAATCTGAATCAGATAGCCTTGCTTCAAATCTTTTTTTTTTTTTTTTTTAAGATTTTATTCGTTTGAGAGAGAGAGCACAAGTAGTAGGAGAGGCAGAGGGAGATGGAGAAGCGGACCCGCTGCTTAGCTGGAGCCCGACATGGGACATGAGACTCAATCCCAGGACCTGGAGATCATGACCCAAGCTGAAGGCAGACGCCCAACCATCTGAGCCATCTAAGCGTCCCAGCCTTGCTTCAAATCTTACAGATCTGCAAGGCGGAAGTGTGCATCCTAGGATCTGTTTCCCATGTGCTGAAATAAGGAATCCCATCCAGGTGTATGGAGGTTTCCCTCCATCCTTCTTAGGCCCCTTCAGCTTGCCTTGATCTTAAGCTTTTATCCTTTTCGCACTATCACTGGCCTGGCATCTGGAAAGAGGAGGGAGAAGGGTGAGGAAGGAAGGGGAGAGTTAAAGAACTTGTAGGGGTAGGTGGATTTGTGGTCCTTAAATCCTTTCTGGAACAAAGTGTAGGGGGTGGCTCACTTGGTTGGGATCTGACTTTTTTTTTTTTAAGATTTTATTTATTTTTTGATGGAGAGAGACAGCGAGAGAGGGAACACAAGCAGGGGGAGTGGGAGAGGGAGAAGCAGGCTTCCCGCCGACTAGGGAGCCCGATGTGGGGCTGGATCCCAGGACCCTGGGATCGTGACCTGAGCTGAAGGCAGACGCTTAATGACTGAGCCACCCAGGTGCCCCAAGCATCTGACTTTTGATTTTAGCTCAAGTCATGATCTTGGGGTGTGGAGCCTGTTTAGGATTTTCTCTCCCTCTCCCTATGCCCCCCCCACCACAAGAAATAAACAGATGAAAGTGTAGGTGTGGGGAGAAGATTGAGCACGGTGGGGAACAAATAAAGGCTGCCGGCACCACTGGTCTGCAGTCAGCCTGGACCCTTGGTTGGTATTATCAAATTCCTCCTGTGTTGTTCCTCTATCCCATTTAAGGCATAAGCATGTATACATATGTAATTTAATATCAATGGAATCATACCTTAATACTGTTTTTCTTCTTTATACCATTTTGTAATCTTTTTTGACCTTTTCCCCCACTTTATTGAGATATAATTGGCATATAACATTGTGTAAGTTTATATTTGAAAAATATATTTGAAAAAATATATATATTTGAAATATATATATATATTTGAAAAAATATGATGATTTGAAACACATACATATTTTTAAATTATTATCACAATATGGTTAACACATCCATCACCTGACATAGTTCCCTGTTTTTTGTGGGTGTGGTGAGAATCTTTTCTCATTTTGTAGTTTATTGTAGACTCCTTATGTAAATAAATGTAGAATAAATGGCTAAATTATATTTTAATGTGAGGATGTACCATAATGCTTTTTATATTTTAATATTTAATCTGTTCATCTGATCTGTTATCTATGGGGCCTTCCCTGACTCCCTTACTTAAAATTGTAGCAAACCCCCTTTCTTTCCTAACTCCCTTCTCTCCTTTATTTTTCTCTATGGCATTTAACACCACTTGATATACTGTATACTTTTCTTATTTGTTTATTGCCCAATACCTTCCATTAGAATGTAAGCTCCATGAAGACAGATTGTTTTTTCTTCTTTTTTTATTCACTGCTCTCTAGCTGTTAGTAGGACAGTTCATGGTTGGTATTCAGTAAATATTTGTTGAATGAATGAACTTGTTGGACTTTTGGTGTATTTGTTGGACTTTTTATTTGCAGTATTTTTTTTTTAAGTGATCTCTGCAACCCAGTGTGGGGCTCAGACTCAGGACCCTGAGATCAAGAGTTGCACACTCTATTGACTGAGCCAGCCAGGTGCCCCTATTTGCAGTATTTTTGTTATTATGTACATTCTGTGATAAGCACCCTGTATATAATCTTTGTACACTTGTCTACTTATCTCCTTAGGATAAATTCTAAGAAATAGAATGGATCAGTTAAAGGATACGCATATCTAAAAAAAATTTTTTTTTAAGATTTTATTTATTTATTTGACAGAGACACAGCAAGAGAGGGAACACAAGCAGGGGGAGTGGCAGAGGGAGAAGCAGGCTTTCCACTGAGCAGGGAGCCCGAGGCAGGGCTCGATCCCAGGACCCCGGGATCACAACCTGAGCCGAAGGCAGATGCGTAACAACTGAGCCACCCAGGTGCCCCCACATTTAAAATGTTGATTCATGGACGCCTGGGTGGCTCAGTTGTTAAGCGTCTGCCTTTGGCTCAGGTCATGATCCCAGGGTCCTGGGATCGAGTCCCGCATTGGGCTCCCTGCTCCGCGGGAAGCCTGCTTCTCCCTCTCCCACTCCCCCTGCTTGTTCCTGCTCTCACTATGTCTCTCTGTCAAATAAATACATAAAATCTTTAAAAAAAAAAAATGTTGATTCATGGAACCAACTACCTTTAAGAATGTTAACTTCTACCAATAGCACATGAGAGTGCCTAAATTGTCAGTAATACTGGGTTGTATGTTTTTCATCTTTCCCATCTGACAGGTGAAAAGTGGTCTTGTCACTATAATATGGTAGTTGAGAATGTGACTCTGATAGATGTGATGTGATACGGTATGTGACTCTGGAGCCAGCCTGCGGGGGCCTGAATTCTGACTCAGCCACTTACTGTGTGACCTTGGGTAAGTTATTTAATTTCTCTCTTTCTCAGTTTCATCTTTGATAAGGTGAGCATGATGATAGCACCTGTTTCAGGAAGAATAAGTCAATTAATCTAAGTAAAATGCTTCAAATAGTAATGGAGACATGTCACTCAATAAGTATGACTTAATGATGTTTTTTGTATATTAAAGATTGAACATCTTTTCAAATGTGTTTTGGTATATTTTTTGAGTTACTTATTCATGTCTTTTTTTTTTTTTTTAAGATTTTATTTACTTTTTGACAGAAAGAGACAGCGAGAGAGGGAACACAAGCAGGGGGAGTGGGAGAGGGAGAAGCAGGCTTCTAGCGGTGCAGGGAGCCTGATGCAGGGCTTGATCCTGGGACCCCATGATCATGACCTGAGCCGAAGGCAGACGCTTAACCACCTGAGCCACCCAGGCGCCCCACTTATTCATGTCTTTTGCATATTTTTTTTTTAAGATTTTATTTATTTATTTATTTATTTATTTATTTATTTATTTGAGAGAGAGAGAGAGAGAGAGAAACAGCATGAGAGGGGATAGGGTCAGAGGGAGAAGCAGGCTCCCCGACGAGCTGGGAGCCCGATGCGGGACTCGATCCCAGGACTCCGGGATCCTGACCTGAGCCGAAGGCAGTCGCTTAACCAACTGAGCCACCCAGGCGCCCATGTCTTTTGCATATTTTCCCAGTAATATTTTCTTAATAACTTGTAAGAGGTAAAGTGTTGACTATAATATAGCAGAATAGTTCCTAGTTTGTCATTTGTCTTTTGACTGTGTTTATGCAATTTTTTTTTCTTGGGAAGGTTTACATTTTTAGGTAGTCAAAACAATCTTTTTTCTTATGGTTTTTCTTGCTGCTAGGCCAGTATTTATTTATTTTTTATTTTTATTTTTATTTTTTTTATTTTTTTTTTCACATCAGACGGGTAATGTGCCCAGGTCGTAACAAGGTTTGCGGGAGGCACATGTCACACAACGGCGTGAACACCCAATCATCATGCTTATGAACTACAAAAGGATCTAGGCCAGTATTTAGAACAGGCATATCTCCCTACCTCAAAAATATAAAAAATAGTTATTCATTCTCTTTGAGTACTTGGTGTGTGTGTGCACGCGCACGCGTGCTTTTAAATCTTTAAATTTAATCTTTAAATCTTTGATCCTTCTGGAATTTATTTTGATATGAAGATAGCAGATGAGATCTGGCTCTATTTCTTTCCAGTTGTGTACTGTCCCAGACCTATTTATTAAAGAAGAAAGACCAGGAGCCTTTAATCTTTTCTCCCCTCCCTAATCTGAAAGTAAGATATCCTAGAGATAGGAGATCTCCATTTCAGAGAATGAATTTCATGTTTGGACTCAGTCATTCAGTTGCTAAGCTATGGGATCAGAACTCACGGTTTGACTAAGCAGTGAAACTGCTGCATTCACTAGGGTAGCTTCTCTGCTGGCTCTTCTCTGGAGGCTTCTTCTAAATGGATCTTAGTTTGAGGACTGCTTTGAAGGGGCCATTGTTAGTTTGGAATGATAAGTTCTGTGTTCTTTCTTTTTTTTTTTTTTTTTTAAAGATTTATTTGACAGAGACTCAGCGGGAGAGGAAACACAAGGAGAGGGAGTGGGAGAGGGAGAAGCAGGCTTCCTGTGGAGCAGGGAGCCCGATGTGGGGCTCAATCCCAGGACCCTGGGACCATGACCTGAGCCGAAGGCAGACGCTTAACCGACTGAGCCACACAGGCGCCCCAAGTTTTGTGTTCTTTTTTTTTTTTTTTAAAGATTTTATTTTTTTGACAGAGAGAGACACAGCGAGAGAGGGAACACAAGCAGGGGGAGTGGGAGAGAGAGAAGCAGGCTTCCCACCGAGCAGGGAGCCCGATGCGGGGCTCAATCCCAGGACCTTGGGATCATGACCTGAGCCGAAGGCAGACGCTTAACTGACTGAGCCACCCAGGCGCCCCAAGTTTTGTGTTCTTAAACAAATGAAGTGATTATAGTGGATATTTCCTCACTCCAGCCTGAGAGTATTGGTAGGGTATTGATGAGGGGGTATTGAATGGTAATGAACACATTGTGTTCTACCTGTGCCCTCATCAGCTCTTTTTGGAACTCTTGTCCCATCTAGTTTCTTCCCTCAGACTCAAGATGGAGGGAGAGCGATTCCTATATGACAGAGCGTTCATATATCCCATGGCAGCTATCATTTGCCAAAGACGTCAAGGAAGGGTAGCTGACTCTTAACATGGCATATGCTGTGTGCCAGCAACTGTTCCAAGCACCTTACATATATAAGGTTTTTATGAGATTGGTGCTCTGTACTAGGTTGAATAGTGTCCTCCCCAAATTTCATGTCCACCCAGAACCTATGAATGTGATCTTATTTGGAAATAGGATCCTTGTAGATGTAATCAAGTTAAGATGAAGTCATAGTGGATTAGGATGGGCCCTAATCCAGTGACTGGTGTTCTTATATGAAGAGGGAGATACATAGAGGAAAACATCCGTGTGAAGATGGAAGCAGAGATTGGACTTGTGCTGCCACAAACCAAGGAATGTCAAGAATTACTGGCAACCGCCAGAAGCTGGAAGAGGCAAAGCAAGATTCTTCCCTGGAGCCTTCACAGGGAGCATGGCCCTGCTGCAACCTTGATTTTGGGCTTCTGGCCTGCAGAACTGTGAGAGAATAAATGTCTTTTGTTTGCAGCCACCCACTTGGCAGTGTTTGTTGTAGCAGCCCTGGGAAACCAACACTGCTCTTCTATTATCTCCATTTTCAGATAAGGAAACAGGCCCAGAGAGATCAGGTGCTTTGAGATCTGTCTAGGCCACTGCTCTGCTGGCTGGGCACTTACTCTGAAGTTCTTGATGTTGCTGTTGTCAGCTCGGCACCTTCACCATGGCTGTCACACCTTCTGGTAGTGCTGGGACTGAGCTGCTGGAATGGCTCCTTCCCTAACACAGCAGGCACAGACTTTCCCCTTCTTGCCCATTTCACGCCCTAAAGCAGAAACTCCTCTCAGAGGCTTCTGGCTGTAACCTGATCATTTCAGCAGGTTGCTTCATGACCCCACTCTTCCAGGTGAAATCAGGCTTTTTTCATTTCCATGCAGTGTCAGAGAAATGTGGGTGACAGTTGTGGGGAGGGTCACTCAGCTGCTTCTGGCAATTATTTTTATGCTTCCCATTTCTGGCCTGCTATACTTCCTAGAATTTCTGTCAGTAGACAACTCAAGTCGTGGTTGTTTTTGGAGCTTCAGGATGTCACACACAGCTCACGTCGCACATATCACAGTTCATGGCTGTGAGCAGAGAAGGAGCAGCATCATGACTGCAGTGACTCTGAGGGCCCTGGTCACCTGTTCTTGAGAAACCCAACACACCACAGTGGCTCTCTTCTCTGCCAAAGTGAGTGGGGGGATAAGGATGTTATCTGACCCAGCCCGCCCCCCTAAACAGCTTCTTGTTTGCCCATGGCCTCTTTTGCTGGCATCCCAGAAGGGATCTCCTCCCTTCGCATCCCATTGCTGGCTGCAGAATCTTGCCTGCTTTCCAATATGAACCTTTTGCTTTGGATCTTGCTCTTACTCTTTTTTTTTTTTTTTTTACTTATTTTTGAGAAAGAGAGAGCGCGAGAGAAAGCACGAGCAGGGGGAGGAGACGAGGGAGAAGGACAAGTGAGAGAAAATGTGAGCAGGGGCAGGAGAAGAGGGAGAGGGACAAGCAGACTGCGCTGAACGCGGAGCCTCAGGTGGGGCTCAATCCCACGACCCTGAGATCGTGACCTGAGCTGAAACCAAGAGTCAGACGCTCAACCCACTAAGCTACCCAGGCACCCCAATCCTGCTCTTATTCTTTATTTTTATAAAGATTTTATTTGACAAAGAGAGACACAGCGAGAGAGGGAACACAAGCAGGGGGTAGTGGGAGAGGAGAAGCAGGCTTCCCGCTGAGCAGGGAGCCCGATGGGGGGCTCGATCCCAGGACGCTGGGATCATGACCTGAGCCGAAGGCAGACTCTTAACGAGTGAGCCACCCAGGCACCCCTCCTGCTCTTATTCTTAACAACTCTCACTAGACTGAGCTCCAGGAATTAAGGAACCATATTTGTTTTGTTTGCTGCTGTATCCCAGGACTGAGCAAAGACCTGACACTTCTCTAGCCCCTGAAGAAATGTTTATTGAATGAAGAATTGAATATTGACCTTGAAGCTTTGGAATCCTGGTTTTTCTTGCTTCTTGATAAAGCCAAGAACCAGATGAAGAACTTCAGAGGCCTAAGCAATAGAAAGATTATGATGTCCCTCATATTTTCAGCCCTTAGTATGTATTTCAAAAACAAACACAAAATCAGTATAAGGAAATCCAGTGAAGTATAAGGAAAATCCAGCAAAATTCTGTTTTTTACCATGGTGACTAATTAGATAAATAGAATTTAAAACATTTGCTGTTACTGTCTCTGCTTTGCTAGTTCTCTAAGCACATGCTTTTGGATAATCCTGCCTGGACCAGTGCTTTCCTCGCCTCGGACTTCACCTTCATTTCCTCTTTATTTCATCTGCTAAAGTTGCCAGCCAGTTCTTTTCACCTCATAGGGGTGTCTGGCTCCTGAGACCCCAGCCAAGGCTAAATGCCCCAGGCTCCCTGGGGGTTTGCCAAGAAAGTCAAGTAGAACATGCACACTACTAAAGAGTACCTCAGAGAACTTCCATGCTGAATTGTGATTTATAGTCAGCATAGCACATTGTGCCAAGTGATTACACTTGGGCCATATTTAGTTGTAATAATCTGCTCTTGTGATCCTATATGTCCAGCCCAGAAATGTTCCTTTGGTCGTTCTTCCTGGGTCACTGAGAAGTCAAGACGTAGTCCCACTCTACCATCTGTATTAATCTGGCTTTGTTGAAACCATTCAGAGAAGCAAGGTATTCTGGAAGTGTAGAGCCCAGGCCTTGTACAGGCTATTCCAAAGCTGTGACCGTAATCAAATCTGTTGCTGTTTCA